ACAGTGACAGAAGCACTGAGCCAAGTTTTACTGTGCTGCTAGCCAGCCAGGTGACCCGGGGCAAATTGCTGAACCTCCTGAACCTCAGGGTCATGAGGAGACCCAGTTCCCTCTGAGGCTCTTCTGATTTGAATGCTGTGCATTTTGGGGTCTACACCATCCTGTTCCCCAGGTTAGGGACATAAATGGTCGGACGTGTGCTCCATCATTGTTTTCTAAGTTCTCATAACAGTTTGCCAGTATGTTTCCTGTGGCACTTGCCACTGTTAACCCTGTGTTGTAATTATGTCAGTACTTACACTTCCTTTATATTACACTGAGTTTCTTGAAGATGTGGACCTGTGAATAATTTACTGAGATATTCCCCAGTGGTGCCTGCCACTGCGCCGCGTACTTAGGAGTGTCAGTCATAGACGTTGACTGAGTAGACCCCACAGTAACTGATGACACCAGGCTCTTCCTGCAGTGTACCAGTTAGAACACACCATCCGTTCAAACACCTATCAACAAACACCAGGCTAGACGGTGTGGGGGACACGGATGACATCAGACACTCTCACTATCCCCCAGGAGCTTTGCAACTAGTAGAGGAGCCAAGGTATGGTCACAAACAACTTTATATAACACAGAGCAGCAGATGTGAGTGTCACAAGACAGGAACCGAGGTCCAAAGGTGCAGAAATTCAGGCAGAGAGGACAGCATAGCAGGCTTCCTAAAGGAGAGAGCATCTAGGATCTTAAAGGATGGCTAGAATTTTAACAGGGAGAGAAGGAAGCAGTTCATGTAGAGTAATGTGCAAGGAGGCTTGGTCAAGAAAGCACACGGAGATCATGGGGGACAGAGGGTATAGGTGCAGGGATGGAGGACTAGGAGAAAAGGCCACAATGATCTTGGAGCTTCAGCAGCTACAAATCTAGGTTGGAGTGGGATCACCGGGCTGTGAATCCCAGAGGTCCCAGGACCTGCACAGCATGGTGTATTGGACCGTGGGAACACTACCTATTAGACTTCCTATTTACTTTCTGTTTAATTTTATATATATATAATTGGCGCAATGGTTAAGAGCTTAGCTGCTAACCAAAAGGTCGGCAGTTAGAATCCCCCAGCCACTCCCTGGAAACTCTATGGGCAGTTCTACCCTGTCCTATAGGCTCACTATGAGTTGGAATCAACTCAACAGCAATGGGTTTGGTGTACATAAATATATCTAAAGGGAGACCTGGTGGTGCAGTGGTTAAAGTGATCGACTGCTAACTGAAAGGTTTGCAGTTTGAAACCATCAGCGGCTCCTCGGGAGAAAGATGTGGCAGTCTGCTTCTGTAGAGATTTACAGCCTTAAAAACTCTATGGGATCACTATGAGTCAGAATTGACTTGATGGCAGTGAGTCTTATATGTATAGAGAGAAAGAGCCCTGGTGACCCAGTGGTTAAAGCCTCAACTGCTAACTGAAAGGTCGGCAGTTTGAACCTACCAGCTGCTCCACAGGAGAAAGATATGGCAATCTGCTGCCGTAAAGATTTACAGCGTTGGAAACCCTATGGGGCAATTCTACTCTGTCCTATAAGGTTGCTATGGTCAGAATCGACTAGATGGCAATGGGTTTTTTTTTTGTTTGTTTGTTTGTTTTTTGGTTTTGGTATATATATGTGTGTGTGTTATGTGTGTGTATAATTTATAAATAAATATATGAGGAATGCATACTCAAAAATGTTGTAGACGAGGTGCATGACTATAAAAGCTTAGAGACAACTGGTCTCAACTCTCCTGTGGGCAATTAGAATGGAAAGTTTTGAGTAGAGAAGCAATCTGATCAGAGTTGTACTGGATCAGCCTAGAAAGGATGGATAAGATAGTTTGGAGGACCAAGAGATGAGGGTGGGGGCAAGGAATCCTTTGAGAGGTATCGCGATGGTCCAGGTGATCTGCATGAATCAGAAGTCTGAAGCCAGGACTTTTGGGGCCTTCAGTAGTCCCATTTCCAAATGATGGCAGCAGGGGCAATGGACACAGAAAAGAAGGTGTAGATGTGAGAGACATAAAGGAACAACAGACAGAAGCAAGGAACAAGGACTAATCTCAGATGACTAGAGTTCAAAGATGAGTGTGGGATATTGAGAGAATAGCGGTATCAATGACATTAACAGAAACTGGGAAATAAGGAAGAAGGCTGGTTTAAGGGGGAAGCTAATAGAAGTGTAGAACCTGAGATCTTTTAGTCCAGCATTCACAGTTTGCTGATGAAGAAACAGAGGTCCAAAAGAAGAGAATAAGGTGGTAGATCTGGACCCCATCACCAGGTCTCCTGAGTCTCACTCTGATCTTGTTTGATGATCTTTCTGCTCCAGTGTTTTAGATCACAGTAGACTTTGTTTAACTGAACTTTCTTTTTTCAATCATTTAATAGTTTTTTTTCCAGAAATATTATATTCTGATAGTTTCCAGTTTAACACAAACCAAAAAAGATTAACAGTACATTTTGAAATTCAAAACTACATTGTAAAACAGTACTTGTCAATTAAAATAGTGCAAAGCAAAAGACAATGCAAAAAGAGTCCTTTGAAACAAGTTAATGAATAACAGTGCCACCAGCAAATCTTCCGTCAAATCAAAATAGAGAATGAAGAGAACGAAAAGAGCACAATGCTGTGGAAGACAGAATTTCAAGAAGAGAGAATGAAATGCGGCAGAGAAGTCAAAGATGAGAACATCTAAAAAGAAACAATTGGATTTGTGAATTTCAAGAGAGCAGTTTCAGCAGTGATGGGCTAGATTCCAAACTGTATGGGGTGAAGGTGAGGAGGCTAATGTGGTCCATTTGGAGAAATTTGAAGGAGAAGGGAGGAAGGATGGGCTAGTAGCTCAACAGAGCAGCAGGTTTTTTGGAACAATGAACATTGAACATGCCTGCAGGTAGAAAAGAAGCAGACACTGGGAGATGCAATCAGAGGTGGAGGCGTGGAATCAAGGGCCACTCTGGGAAAGTAGGAAGATGAGATTTTGCTCTTGTGTCCTGGTTAAAAGGAAGAGGATGAGTGAAGAAGGGACGTTCTGAGCTGATGAGGCTGTGGAGATGTAGAAGGACAGAAAGAGTGTGAGATACAGACACATAGACTCAGGGACAGAGAAGAGATAGAGAGATGGATGGCTGCTACAAGAAATGTTCTGACAGGGATCACAATAGAGGGTCCCGGGCAGAGCAGGAGAAAAATGTAGAACAAAATTCAAATTCACCGAAAAAAGACCAGACTTGCTGGTCTGACAGATATTGGAGAAACCCCAAGAGTATGGTCTGCAGACACCTATTTAACTCAGTACTGAAGTCACTCCTGAGGTTCACCCTTCAGCCAAAGATTAGACAGATCTATAGGGCAACAATAACACATGTGAGGATCATGCTTCCTAGTTCAACCATGTATATGAGATGAAATGGGCACACCCGCCCAAAAGCAAAGACAAGAAGGCAGAAAGGGAGAGGAAAACTGGATGAATGGAAACGGGTGGAGAAGGGGAGAGTGTTGACACATCGTTGCGTTGACAACCAATGTCACAAAACAATTTTCGTATTAATTGCTTAATGAGAAATGAATTTGCTCTGTAACCTTTCACCTAAAGCACAATAAAAAAGAAAGAAAGAAACAGGAGTCTACCATTTGCTTCAAGAGCCTTTAATCTGGTAAGAACCTTCACTATCCTTTGTCCAAACAAATCAGGCTTTCTCCACTCTTCAAAGAAGATGTACAAAACCACCCAGCCTCAGACTAAGTAGAAATTGCTTTGTCAGCTCCTGATGGGGTATGGAGGGTACTACTTGCTTTTAGGGCCACAACTTTGTATCTCATTCTTGACTGTACATATGGAAGCCAGCTCCTGGTCCTGGGAAGGCTCCCAAATCTTTCAGAAGAGACAAAGGGCTAAATGCTCTGAACTTTTTGGAGGAAGAGCTAAGTAGGTCCCCAAAAGGGTTTTCATTCTCATGACTGTTATTGTTCACAAAAGCCTGCACAGCAGATCCTGGAGTGGTGCTTTCTCAAGTGATTTCCAGGAGCATCTGCTGATTTGATGAAGAATCTGATGCCATCAAAGCATAAGCCCGTGATGACTCACTGCAAACTGTTGTTGTTGTTGAGTGTTTGCTGAGTGCAGCAGCCCTTTCTGGCATGGTCGCTCCCAGCCTAGGTCCAGAAGCTACAGAGTCACAGCAGGGAGAGGTTCTTGTTTTTGGCATGTCCCTTGGTTCTGCCTTCTGTTCTTGGCTTCCTGCTCTTCTCCTGGTGCCTAGAGCCTTCGCAAGGACACGTTTTAAGAAGCAGCTGAGCCAGACACTCACACTCCCCCGTTATCTTGGGGTTTGTCCAGGGAAAATCAAAGGTATGAAAGCAATGAGGAATGTTGCTGTTAGCTGCTGTCGAGTCCACCCAGGGGCGGATTAAGCAGTAAGCACGGTATGCACCGGCTTACAGTAAGCAAGGTACACGCAGGCTTAATTGTACATACTTACTAATCTGTAGTGCACAGTATCACCTGGGGATGTGGTGAAAGCACAATTAAGCCCATTTGTACCTTGCTCATTGGGTAATCCATCCCTGAGTCCATCCCCAACTCATGGCAACCTTTTGCACAATGAAACAAAACACTGCTTGAAACTGTACCATCTCCACGATCAGTTGCAGATCAGACCGTTGTGATCCACAGGGTTTTCATTAGCTGATTTTCAGAAGTAGATCACTAGGTCTTTCTTCCACAATGAGGAATGGAGCCTGTCTCTTTTCTCTTCCAGGCTTTTCCTATTTTCTGAACCTTGGTACTCAGAAACACATCCCTCAATGCACTAGAGAAAAACCAAAAGACCACAGAAGAGCCACTTCTTTCCGCCATGTTTTCAGCTACATCCTTCTTCATCTTAACTGGAACTCCAGGGCACTCACCTAACCAAAAACCAAACCTGTTGCCATCAAGTCCATTCCAACTCATAGTGACCATATAGGACAGAGTAGAACTGCCCCATAGGGTTTCCGAGGAGCAGCTGGTGGATTCAAACTGCCGACCTTTTGGTTAGCAGCCAAACTCTTAACCACTGCGCCACCAGGGCTCCAGGGCACTGACCTAGTCCCTGCTAATTAGAGCCAAGACCTTCACATGGACCTCCGCTCCAGAGCTCACTCTCCATCACCCCTTTTCCTCCTAAATTTCTACCACATCGTATCTTGTTGAAAAAGCCTTCTCTGGGTCGGTGCCCCCACAAGCCCTAGCATGTAGCCATGGTACTTCCTCTTTCTCATCTCCTTTCCCCTGTTCCCTGTGCCTGTCATTCTCTCACCTCTCTGGCCTTTTCATCCCTGCCCCATCGCCTCCTCCACATCCTTCTGCGTCCCTTCCCATTCCTCTCACCTGCCTTCTCCCTGGCTCCTTTTCCTCCCCTCCCTCTTCTCTGTTCCTTTGCTTCTCTCCACTGACTGTTCTCTTTTTGTCCCTTCTCAGCCAGTTAGCTATGATGTCTTCAAGCTGTTCATGAGCGCATACCTGGAGGTGGACCTCCCTCAGCCACTGAGCACACACCTCTTCCTAGCCTTCAGCCAGAAGCCCAGACAAGAGACCCCTGACCATCCAAGGGAGGGGACCAGCCACAGCGAGGTCAATGGCCCAGGTACGTAGACCAGCTTCCCCCAAGATGGAAGGGGAGTTTTGAAGTTATAACCCCCTTGCTGCAAGCATGAGTTGCATTCCTAGAGCCTAGTAACTGCTTTAGGGATGGAAATGGAGACCAAGGACTAGGACCTTTTTCCTCACAGGGCTTCACAGGGAGACCTGTCTGATGAATCTCTCAGTAAGAGGAATACAGACGGGCATAATCCCTGCCACTGAGGATCAGAGAAGGTAGGAGGGAGGGAGGAGAGGCAAACGCTAAGAAATGGCAGGGAGAAGAGAGCCTTCAGCAAAGGCTGGAGGTCCGTGGATGATGGAGCACACTCACCTCGTGTGCCCAGGCTAGGACTGGCCTGGGAGTGTCAGAGGAAGGATCAGGCATGGTCAGCCTCTTCCTGGAGCTTGGGCTATAGTGGAGAAGACACAGCCATCCCCAATATGTGAGCATGGACCCAACGGACACAACCCAGAGTCACAGACACAACCCAAGTGACTAAAGAGCTCATGGGAAGATCTTCTACCTGCCCTCTAAGAAACTGGAGGACATGGGCTGGTCTTTAAATCTTCTTTTTACTCCCCAGATTCCAGTATACAGAATGCAGATAACGCTGCCAAAGCAGACGAGGCCTGTGCCCCTGATACGGGTAAGTCTTGAATACCAGGCTTGAGCGGGCTGCATCCTTGGGGAGAAGTGGGAATACCTCACCAGCCATTTTGTTTCCATTTAATTGTAAGCCTTGAGAAGATCTTGTCCTTCTGAGGCCTTCAGAGCCCCCACCTCTGTGGTCCCTGCCACTCTAATGTTCTAGGATTCTGAGTCTAGGTGAAGGTTCTTGCTTCACATTCCCTGGAATGGGAGCAGGGCAGGACTCGGGACATCTTGTGAAATGTTTACCTCTGACAAGTCTGCCTGCCCAGAGAGGGGAACCTTCTCAGGAGGAAGTATGGAGGGGCAGGGGGAAGCATGGATGTGAGAAGGGTGAGTGTGGGTGTAAGTTTGAGTGTGTGTCTGTGTGTTTGTATGTGAGTGTGTTTGTGTGTATGTGAGTGTGGGTGTGGGTATGAGAGATAGTGTAGGAGTGTGAGTTGTATGTGTGTTTGTGTGTGTGTAAGTGTGGATACAACTGTGTGAGAGATTGTGTGTGTGTGTGTGTGTGTGTGTGTGTGTGTGTGTCTGTCTCTAGGGCTGAGATACAGATGATTCTACCAGTGGCTGGCTGGACAGGGATGGGGCAAGAAGGTAAGAATATGCTCTATTTGACTTCCGACAACACACGTATATACCTGCTTGAATAAGCCAGGAGGAGGAGCAAGGGGAAGTCAGCTAAAATTGTTCTGAGGATCTACTATTTACCAAAACCCATTGCCGTTGAGTTGATTCCAACTCATAGTAACCCTACAGGACAGAGTAGAACTGCCGTATAGGGTTTCCAAGGAGCAGCTGGTGGATTCCAACTGCCGATTTTTGGTTAGCAGCCGAGCTCAAAACCACTGTGCTATGAGGGCTCCTACTATTTGCCAGGTACCTGCTTATGACATATTTCATTTAACCTTCACAATCACATCACTTTACACATGAGAAGCTAAGACTTTAAGAGATTTATATACTGCTGGTGTGGCCTTCCTAAAGATCACAGCCTTGAAAACCCTGGTGGAGCCAAGGATTCAATCCATAACTGTCCAACCTCAAAGCTCCTGGTCTCCTCCCTACACCAAGAAGACACAGTGGTCTTTCTTGAGAGTCCTCATGGTTTGTCTCCATGTAAAGACACCAGTTTAGATAGTTCCTGGTGGAATGATCAAGTCTACACTCCCAATGGGGCTGTTGTCATGGCGCCTGGCTGTCTCTAAGAGAGGCCCCTCCTGGGCCATGACTGATTTCTTCCCTGGCACATTTATCAATGGGAAGCCACTCCTCTGTGCCATTGACAGGCCCAAGTCCAAGGCCAAGTGCTTTTAGGAAACTGGAAAGGGTGAAGGTTGCCTCTTTGGCCCCTGTTCTCATGTCCAATACAAATTTCCTGGGCACTATCAACCCAAGTTGGGTCAGACAGTAAAGCATATTGGTTAAGAGTCTGGGTTTGACTCCAAGCTCTACCATTACCTGTCTCTATAATCTTGAGCATGTTTGAATAATGTCTCTGTGCCTCAGTTTCCTCATCTGTAAGATGAGATACTAATAATATCATAGTGTTAAGTGAGCTAGATGTGTAAAATGCTTAGAATTATGTCTGGAACATAGTAAATGCTCAATAAATATTAGCAAGTATTATTCAGACCACTCTCCAGAAGTACACTCTCTTCTTAACTCATCAGAGTCTGCCAAGATCTCCTTCAGGGCCTTTCTGCACCCTCAGGCTCCAAGGGTGTCAGTTGAATATTCTGTTCTCATGAAAGGACTCTCATGGATTCTGTTTCTCCCAAGTTGCTCTTGAAGCTTCAGGTACAAAGACTCAGAGAGTCAGACCTTATTTCCTGTGCATTGTCATTGTCTGGGAAAGATTTATAGAAATGCAGAGGTAAATCCCAGCTCTTGGGATATGCCCAGTGGTAAAGAACGCAGCTGATCACATGATTAATCATTGATTCAGTTACTACTTACCTCCAAAACAAAATCAAGTTTTATTATGTTTTTAAATGGATATAAAACAGAATAACTAAAAGGGGTAACATAAATGAAGGAGAAGGAGAGCTAATTGTAACAGGATCCTAAGGTGACAGGGTTTCTTCAAGTGGACACTAGACGCAGTTCTAATTTTTTTTTCACTCACAGGAAAGGACAGCTGGGAGGATGGTAGGGTTTTCAGTGTTTAACTAAAAGACTGGTGAGATCACAAGTTCAATATGGGTAGAAAGCAGAGCATGTGGGGAAAGGGACCCTAAGTTAGCAAATGCCAGGCCTGTTGTGGAACCCCAAAAAGTAAGGATTGAGAGCATCAGTGACTTCCCGATGGCTTCAGGGACAAAGCAGGACAAGACTCTACAGAAGTGTGGCTCACCCTCCCTCCTGCCCTGTGTCTCACCAAGCCATGCTAAGTCCATAACTCATTGGTGTCATAAATGGATTTAAGGCATAAACATATCTTAAATCTTACGTGGAATAACAAAGGAGTATTCTGCCACAAATCATTCTTATGATAGAAAGCAAAGGGTGAAACTGGAAGCTTCGAGATTTTAAACTCCCAGTAAGAAAATCAGGAGGGACCAGTCTGTAGAGAAGGACATCATGCTTGGTAAAGTAGAGGGTCACCAAAAAAGAGGAAGGGCCCCGTAAAACCAAATGAGACTAACGAGGTACAGGAGTCCAGTGACGAGGGCCAGACGGCAGAAGGGGACAAGGAAGCTGGTGATAGGGAAC